TCTTTAATTTAGTTGTAATTCCCGTTTGGTCATGGGAGGAGGTGATTATAGCTTCTACTACCTATTCTGCTACCATCTTAAAATCCCCTAGCTCTGCTACTTTCTTCTAAAGAGAAAAATAAAAAGAATGTAACATCCTTTCTCAATGTGATCCCTTAACATTGCAAAGTATTGGATTGTATACATTTTTAGGGATCTATAAAATGAATTTTGGCTCTTCAGGGCCTAACTTACTACCAAGATTAATTATTGCTAAGGACAACTTGCCCTTGGTCCTTGGATTCTCAGCCCACTTATAACCTTTAAAAAGCAAAATATTTCAGTGGAATCATGGAGAATCTTCAAAGTCAATACCCTACCTTTTGATCAAGGGTAAATATAAGCCATTCTACTAAGTACTGAGGTCCTTTCTGAAGATCAATAGAGTTGGAAGTTCCACTATTTTCCTCAGTGAGCTATATCAGTGTTTGATATCCAGGCATTTGTTGTGTTACTCTCCATCTCTTCTTACAAATGGAAATAAAGAGAAGAAGTCTACAGCTGGACTTTCAGTGGTCAAAACAAAAGTAAGATAAGATAAATTTCTTTCTATGTTATATGTTCTAGACCAATTTGTCTTCTGGTTTCAGCATTATCATCAGACCTGGCCACTATAATATCAGATATTAGTTTATACTACCTTTTACTCCTTTCTCTCTCAAACTCCTGTATAATCTTATTTTCTTGGTCTCCAACTTAAAGGAATGACTTGATATAAAAAATAAGAGAATTTGATAGTTATAAAATACTATAATAACTAAGTGAAAAATGTTGGACTTTCCTGGTACTGGATAATAATACTCCACAACTACCACTGCACTTACATTCTAATTAAAATGTGTGAAAATGCACCTCCTTTGCTACCTTGCTCTCATTAGCTAGGAAGCAATAGTTTGTTTGTCACTGTTTTCAACACCAGAAAATTTTGGTTTTAAGACAACTGCCTGCTGAAATATCAAAAAAGAGTGGGCTGAATATGTGACAGAACACAAAATATTTATTCTCACTAAATAACAGAACAATTAAGGGGTAATATAATTAATAAGTTAATATTTCTAAAGTATTTTGGAAATATAAAACAACAGCTAAACACTAAACTTTATTGCAGTTAGTTATTTTTGTATATATGTGTGTATCTACTTCTATGTGTATATGTCAATATACATGTAAAGTATGTATTGTCTCTCTCACTGTACATATACACAATGAACAGTGTATATGAAAACATTACTGCTATTGTTGGAAATATATGATCTGATAAAGAGAATGTATGTCTAATTTTAAATTAACACCTGGATTTTCTTCAAAAATAATAGTTGGAAATGATTCAAAGTTAATATTTATTATAAACAAGTTAAAATACTTAAGAATAGACAAACATAAGATCTATTACCACCTTATCATGAATGTACATAGTTCACCACTGAAACTTAGGAGAATCTTAAACTATCTTCTTGGTATAATTGGACAACATCCTTATAACTTTTTAAAGAAAGGTATAGTATCTACATTTTTGACCGTTCAAATTCACTGAATTTTTATAACTTTAGTTACAGTATATTTATTTTTATGGCTGCATTGGCAAACAAACTAATATTTCACAGTGATTTTACTCACTGCAAATGATGAAAATATTCAGAAAATATTTTAGAGAAAAATTCATCCCAATCTTAATAATGATGGAAGCATAGGTGACTTCTTTACAACCACTGAGTTAAAACCAGATGGCAGCATCTACCAGTATCCCAAATCTTTCTGATTCTAGTTCAGTGATCTTACTTTTATAACATACAGACAGCATTGAAAAGAGGTAGGATAATAATTACACTATAATTCATGGACTATAACTTTTAAAATGTTGTTATTAAAATAGAGAACTAGATCAAAACAAAAATGGCCAAGAGTTGCAATTAAAGTTTCAACATGAAGTAAATAATTTGAGAAAAAATAATTTGTTTAATATCTATACAAAAAATAAGTCAATTATTCCAAGTCACTTATAAATAACGAAGGGCACAGTGCATGAATTCTTGCACCTTGAAAGGAACTGTGGGCCGCGAGGCTGTGGTGGGCACAGGGGTGGGTCTTGGCCCATCCTCCATGCCCCCACCTGGCCCTTCCCACCACGGCCCCTGGTCCCCTGTCTGCCGGCAGCCCTGCTCCTGCTGCTGCTGCTGCCCCTACCACACTCTGATGGCTCTGGCCCTGCTCGCACCCACTGATGGTGCAGAGCGATTGGGACTGGTGCCAGCAGCAGGTGCGAACAGCAGCTGCTGCCCTGATCGCTCCTCAGGAGCAGGGGGAGGTGGAGAAGCACTCAGGAGCAATCGGGGCCAGCAGCCACTGCTCGCACCTGCTGACAGCGCCCAGTGATCGGGACTGGTGCCAGGAACCGGCAGCAGGTGTGAGAGGCAGCTCTGGCGCTGGCTGCAGGTGCAAGCGGGGCTGGCACCAGCAGTGGGTCTGAGTGGCGGCTGCCAGCCCCAATCACCCCTCAGGAGCAGGGTAGGGGCAATCAGGGCCAGCAGGTCAGCGCTGAGCGATCAGGGCTTGTGCTGGGCGCCAGCAGCAGGTGCGAGCACTGTGCGGGACCTCGGTGGATGGGAGCAAAGAATTTTCAGTAACCACCAGAGGCTATCGCTGATGACAGCAACCAGTGCCCTGCCTTGGTCTGGCGCCCCCGCTCACCTGCTCCACATCCCGCCATGGCTAATGCCACCATGTTCCATGCACTGCCGCCTGCTGCTGATGCCCACTATGTTCCGCGTGCACCCCCTGGTGGTCAGTACACATCATAGTGACTGGTTGTTCAGTTGTTCAATTGTTCTGCCGTTTGTTCTATTTGCATATTAGGGTTTTATATATATGATTAATCTCGTCATCATTCTTCAATTTCTTGCCAGGCTTTTCCTTTTATTAATTGGTTTTTACTTAGGAAAGAAATTTAATTTTGTTACCAAAGCCAAAGCACTAAGAAAATTTTGTTTGAAAAATATTTTGTTTTATGTTAGATCAAAATCTTTTATATTTCTCTTTGAGATATTGGATTTTTATCTCTGGTGGGTTGCATACACTATTAGCTTACAATTGAAGAGAGATAAAAGAATATAAGATAACAATTAAAATCACAGGTTTGTTGTATGTATGTTAGCATTGCTATTATTGCTGTATTTAATAATATGAATATAAACTACAACTTTTGAGAACAATGGGTAAAAGTTCTGTAAAACAATAAATCCAGATCTGGCAGTCCAAGGTAGTCCAACTGTCCACATCATAATATCCTGAATGGAAATATAGACACAAACAAACACAATAAACAAAGTCATAAAGTAAGAAAAACATACACTTGATTTCTAAGGTAGGTTAACATTTTGATGGTGAATATTACTTAAAACTGTGATGTTGAAATCTAGGGTTCTTCAATGCATTGTTGTCCCAGGAACAGGACAGGAATGCTCCACCAATAAAATAAGATAAAATAAGATAGAACTTTAACAAAGCTGAAAGAGAAAAATGATAATAGATGCAATTTGCCAATTTTATTTATTTATTTATTTTGCCTAGAAATTTGTCTCAAAGCTTGGTATCTTATACCATCTGCTATTTAATAAAAGCTAGCAGGGGTCAGAGTTAATACAAAACAGAGGGTGAATATTAATTGTAATATGTATAAGTCAGTCATTATGCTTATCATAAAGGGTTGTTTTCTCATAGGTGAGAGTACAAATATTGCATATATTTAATATTAAGTTGGAGTTTCCAACAGTTGGTGGAATTAATGTAAGTTTTTATGGTAGAATTAAATTTAAAATAGCTCATGGGATTCTGAATTATATTATGAATTTCAGGTGCCCTCACATAAATAAGTTAGTAAAGCACTAATTTTTAAATTAGAAAGAATTTTAAAATATATCTATATCTATATACATATATATCTATAATAATAAAAGTGTAATATGCAAATTAGACTGGACATCCTTCTGGATGAAGCCTGGTCTGCGGTGCCTGCTGGTAGCCAGAGGAAAGCCCGGGTCCCGGGCGCCAGAGGGAAGCTGGTGCCAGCAGCCGGGGGAAGGAAGGCCTACTCTTGTATGAATTTCATGCATTGGGCCTCTAATATATATATTATATATACTAGTGGCCCGGTGCACGAAATTCATGCACATTAAAAGGAAATTAATTAGAGGAAATATGTTAATATTGCTATTTGCCTTTTCTCTCTAATAGAAGTATCAGAGATGAAAGAAAATTAGTAAAATGCATATGAAAATCTTCCTCCTGTCAGAGTCTGGGGCATGCCATGGGACCCAGAGTCAAGTCCCCGCCCACCCGTGTGCACCTCGAAATCGCGCGAGACCCAGACCCAGCTGGCCCCACCCCCATTGGATGAGATTCAGACCCGGCTGGCCCCACCCCTGTCAAGCTCCGCCAGGCGGGGGGCACAGCCTCAGGTCCCCCATCAAGCCCTGCTAGGTGGGGGGTGCAGCCTCAGGGCCCCTGTTAAGCCCTGCCAGGTGAGGGGCGCAGTCTCAGGTCCCCTGTCAAGCCCTGCTGGGTGGGGGGCACAGCCTGAGGTCCCTCATCAAGCCCCACCGGGTCAGGGGGTGCAGCCTCAGGTCCCCCACCCTGGCCTGGCACCACGCAGCCTCAGGTCCCTGCTGATCGCTCATTACGGCTCGTTACGGGAACACTGCCTCCGCTGTGAGTGCAGCCATCTTGTGCCGAGTGAAGGAATGAGGGTCAATTTGCATATTACCTCTTCATTATATAGGATATGCATAATCAATTTACTGAGATTTAAATTTTCCAATATGAAAACTAACTTTAGCTTTCACATTTCATATGACACTGGGAAAAACATCTGCTGCTGTCACTGAACATTCAATATATTTTTATACAAAAATCTGAATTTACTTTAGTTCCTTGATTAGAGCCTTCTCTTGTTTGTGTTCTTCCAGGAGCCACTATCAGTGTGATTATTGACGTCGATGTACATGCTTCTGTCATTGTTTCTGCATTCATTGCCATTCTGTACACCCTGGTGGGTGGTCTCTATTCTGTGGCCTACACAGACGTTGTACAGCTCTTTTGTATTTTCATAGGACTGGTAAGTGGGGTCATTTGCAGATATTCTTTCTCTCTCTCTCCCTCGACTTATTCCCTCCCTCCCTTCCTTCCTCCCTTCCTTCTTCCCTTATTTCTTTCTTTTCTTTCCTACCTTCCTTCCTCTTTTTCTTTTGTAAAATAAAATGTGGAATTTTATACTAACTCAGCAAAATCTAATAGAAATGTTATTTTTCATCTTGAGTAATACATAGTAAATCACATATCATTAAATGTTGCCTCTTTATAATTTAATTAAATGAAAAAAATATAGTTGTTTTGTTAGATTTTGCCAGAAAAGTGTGCCCTCAGTTTACTTTTTAGAAAGGTCAAAGTCTTCCTTTTTTTCAAGGCTACATCTGATGGAAGCTTATGTGTGATCTTCCTTTAAGTCTGAAGGCAACACACTTTCCTCAACCTGAACTTTTAAACCTTGATGCTAACCTGTATGAGTCTCTTATCCTCCCCTTATATTAGTGTCAGTTAACCTATAAACTCCTCATAGGGCATAGAAATTCTCCTCGGGAATACTGTGGGTTTCAATATTAATCATCACTATTTGTGGTCTAAAAATGAAGAAAAGGCTTAATTATTATGTAAGGCACTAAAAATATTTATTATGTATTGCATATACATCCTAGGTTAAATTAAGTGATATATTTGTGCTTTATTAAATAAAAAGTACTATATAATTATGAGATATGAATATTATTAATATTACATTAAAAGCACTTTTGTTTGTTATGAACACATTTTAGTCAATGTTCAGCCTTTGCAAACTAAAATCTTAAAATGTGACCATTGTGCCTTGGCCTGTGTGGTTCAGTAGTTAGAGTGTCAGCCCATGCACCAAAGGGTTGCTGGTTCAATTCCAGGTCCAAGGCAGCTATCTGGGTTGCAGGTTCAGTCCCCAGCCTTGGTCTGGGAAAGTGCTGTAGGCAACCAATTGATGTGTCTCTCTCACATCGATGTTTCTCTCTCTCCCTCTCTCTCTCTCCCTCTCCATCACTCCTTTCCACTCTCTTTAAAAATAAATGAAAAAATATCCTTGGGTGAGAATTAACAAAAATTTTAAAAATTTGATTATTATCATTGTACATGTAATAATATCCACCACCTAAGACATACTGAAGTATACAGTAAATTGAATATGCACTCTGTGCTGGTGGCTGTGATGATTCGTGCATGTACATGACCTCAGGTGTGTATCCTACAAGAGCAACAACCTGTGCAAAGGCCATGGACAGTGAGCTAAGACTGCTGATCATGACTCATTTCCCGTGGGTGATCTAAGCACCCTTGGTTCTCCTTGATGTTTTTTTTTTAATATCATGAAAAGCTTTTTAACTCTATTAGTGTTTATACTAGATACTTAAAACGGAAAATGAAGAATGAATTTTATACTCAAATCTGGTTCTTTTGTTCTTTACTTCCTTGCATCTCTAATATACAGGAGGAATATTTATAAGAATGAATTACAGTTATAATTATAGTTTAGCCATTAATTTACATAATTACAATATTTAACAATGATTACAATATTTCCTCTTTTTCTTCTAGACATTTTATTTGCATTTCCAAGAATTTTACTCACTTATATTTTAGTTAAATTCAAAAATATTTAACTAGCTCAGGATTTCTATATTTTTATTTTTAAATATCCAAAAGCAAGTGACAGTGCTGAGATTCTGAGTTTTCTTAGCATCATCATAAACTTCCAGAAATACAGCTCCATTATGAATGTTAGAGATGAGGTTAGTTTGGCATATGACAGCTCTCATAAAAGATGTACTTGGTATTCTAATGAACACAGCTCCAGGGATGAATCTATTTATTCACGATGTATTGCTTTGTATGAGACCAGAACTTAAAATATGTAGGTGCATAGATCAAATGTGCTAGTAAAACCATGCAGGGCAAATATATGTAAGGATGCATTTTAGAGTGGGTTTCTGCTACAAAATGTATCTAATTGATAAGGAATCAAGTTCTGTTTGTAACTACTTCAGGCCTTATTAAATTGGTGGAATAAAAGGCTAAATACAGGTTCTTCTTTAAGTTTCAAAGTGCTATACATACATATATAATTAATCAACTTACAGCATAAACCATCTCTTCTTCTCAGATTCTTTAATTCTATTGATTTTATCATCATCCTACAACTGTAAACTTGAGGTTCATATGTTAGTTATTTTTCCTTCTGACTTCTTTCTTCTTATTGTAATTGATAACTGTTGAATCTTTCTTTATAATTCTTTTTGGTAACAATATCTTTCATTTCCATTATCATGACTCAGCTTCAGGGCTTTATATGGGTTATATCAGTGCCACCTTATTACTCTTCCTGACTCCTCCCTTTTTGTAAACTCACTGTTCATATCTATGATAATAAAATGAAGAAGACATTTTACTAAAATATTTTTTAAATCCAGAAGGAATTCCTCTAGCTTCTAGTTGTAACAAAACAAAGTAAAAATTTCTTAGCTTATAATTCAAGGTTCTCTCCACATATCTATCTCTATGTATCCCATTTCCCTAAGCGACCATCATGCAAGCAAAGGGCCTAACCCAACAGTGTGTACATGCACTCATGTACACGTGCACACATGTGTGTGCGCATGCACACACATACACACACACACACACACTATATTCTGCTGTTTACCTTGCTCCACATAGACCACCTGTCCCTTAACTTGCTTCTTCTTCTACAAATCAGGTACTGGGATCATGCATGAAGATTTGTTTCATCCACCAATTTCTCAATCAAATCTTTCCTTGTCACTTTAATGAATGGTTATCTTTTTCTAATTTAAATAAAACAATTTATACAAATCAGGTGGGATCATGCATGAAGATTTGTTTCATCCACCAATTTCTCAATCAAATCTTTCCTTGTCACTTTAATGAATGGTTATCTTCTTCTAATCAGGTACTGGGATCATGCATGAAGATTTGTTTCATCCACCAATTTCTCAATCAAATCTTTCCTTGTCACTTTAATGAAGAATTATCTTTTTCTAATTTAAATAAAACAATTTATATTATATTATATTAT